CTGTTTTTGACCATATTGAATTGATAAGACTTAGTATTGAGGTAAGAGTAAATGGTTGTCATCATGAAGGTCATTGATGAAAATTAAGAACAAAGTAGGTCCAAGGATAGAGCCCTGGAGGACATTTGCATTAGTACAAAAATCTAAAATGATTTAGGGTAACTTTTATTTTGTGATTTGATAAGAAAGACTGAATCAGTTCTAAAATTTGTCCAGAAATACCATAACCTTTCAACTTGTGAAGAAGACCGGTATACCAAACCCTGTCAAGATGTCCGAAGTAACAGCCCAAGTTTCACCATTTTTATCTAAAGCTTGGTAGACTCTTTTAGCAATAATCATTAATACATCAGCAGTTGACCTAGAGAAGCAAAAGCCATATTGTCTGAAAGATGACCCTGCAATGTGAGATGCTTAGCAATTCAGAGTTTATTAGGACCTCTAATAGTTTGCCAAAAAGAGATAGAAGGCCAATAGTTTGAAGTGTCAGACAGTTTGTCTGAGTTCTTAAAAACTGGAACAACAAAAGAGGATTTCCAACAAGCAGGAAAGCAAGAAGCATTGAGACATTTATTGTACAGTTTAGATAGAACAAGAGCCAGTTCAGGAGCACAGTTATTAAGGACTATTACAGGAATACCATCAGGTTCATATGCTGTGTGGGGAGTACCATTATTTTAGTAGTGTTACTTACACACAAGACATGAAATAGTAGATTAAAAATTTAAATTCTGAATTAGTTTTTGTCTAAATTTAAGCTAATTGCTAAAATGGAAAAAAAAAACAATAATTAACTGATCCAAACCTTAATCCTAAGCTAACTCCATGTAACTGACTAAAAGCGTTAATCACAACTGAAATAAAACAAAAAAAATTTTTTAGATCTTTTTAGAAAAATAATTTAAAAATTAATAGTTTGGTGATCACTCAGATTCAATTTGGCATAGGAAAAAAAGATACTGTTTAAGTTAAAGAATTTCTGTCTTGACAGCTTTTTATATCCCAAAGTATCATTACAACCTCTGACAACAGTAATGCTAACCAAGTTTCTGATCATGTCAAATTGACAGTCTGGAAACTATTTGATTACCATTAGCTTCTGTTCTAACCAAAGCAGTTCAAAGAATTTCTACAGCTCTGTTTCAAAACAATTCATATGAACTATCATCATTCTCATTCAGATCTAATATAAATGTTCATTGAGTATCAGAAGAAATAAATCAGGTTAGGTTGTGTGCCTGTGATCATTATGCTGCAGCTAATGTTATTTCTCTGATCTTTTGTCCCTGGTGACAGTGGAAAATTCTGCTTGTTTGGAGGACACATATATATATGTGTGGCAAAAATACCTCCCATATATACCTTCCACTTAATGGTAAGATATTAGTGGCAATGATTTCTTCATCTAGCTAATGTTTTATCATTATGTAGATATTTCTGCCACACCCTGTATATATTTATATAGTGAGAATAAGCAATATTGTTTTCAGTTATTACTTGATATATAACTTTTTTATTAAAAAATTTAATATAACTGAAATTTTCCTTGACTGGTATTCTTTGACTGTAAAATGCCAAACAATAAGTCTTGTTTTATGGTAAGTTTGTGAATCAGCACATATTTTTCTGTTTCATGTAAAGAGATTGTCCTCTATTATAAATCGATTGCCATAAATTTGTACATTGCTTTCATTGCATCCTGTGTCTTTTTTTTTCTATTTTTGTTTTTTGAAAAGTCAGTTTTTAATTTTCAGTGGTTTAAAATAGCAACTGAATTGAATTATTAAACAAATGATTGGGTGCTGAAAACTCTTTGGCCTAACTCACTATCCCAAATCAATATTGCAATAATTTTTATTTTTTGAAGGGTAAAAGAAATGTGGGGAACAATGTTCTAAGTGTATTGAATTACAAGGTGAATAACTGGAATAGCATGTATGTTTCATGGTTCAAGGTCAGTCGTCTTTGCTATCCAGATAACTTTTCAGTACCCTCTCATATATTTTATCAATGGTCACTTTATACATAAATCAGAGAGTGTGCTCATTGCAGTATTGGAGTTATCTAGCATACACTGCAGCTTCAAAATATATTTGCATTAAAATGAAGTTCTTTCTTATTTCAACAAAGGAAATAAACTTTTTTTTTCTTTTTCAGTTGGGTCATTATTAGAAATATTTGCTTCTTTTGAATTTTCATGCTCTCCCCTATAGCTCATATTTCACTCTCCTATCATCTATTGTTTTTAAGAATTTATATCATCAGTTCTAAAGGCTGATATGTTAATGCATTATTTCTGAGGGGGTGCTGAAAAGTTCTGTCTTACGTTATTTCTCAAGATCTGATCAAACATCAAAATTTCTTTAATCCCTTCTTGGTTAGGCTGAAAACTTCCAAGCACCCCATCATATTTATTTCTTTATATGTTTAAGTTATTCTGTCAGATATATATAGTGTGTATAACAAATTTTAATATTGTCAATACTTAGTGTTCTCTCTTGATTTAAGAGTACAAATAAAAACTGATTTGGAAGCATTCAACTCTTATCTGATTATAGTTGATCATTCATTTTGCATTACTATCCTCATGATAGCAGTTTTATATGAAATAGCTATTTAGTTATTTCATTAATTTATCACCAATATCCACCACATTAGTATGGTTTTATTATTTTTTGCAGATATTGGCATATTAAAAGGTGTATAAAAGTTAGATTTTATCTACAGCTAGGATTGAGTGAATTTTGAAAATCAAAAAAAAAAAATACATTTGGGATTGCCATAAATGATATCTGATCTGTGCCATTTTTCCAATTTTCTATTATTCTTACAAGTATAGATTATTTATACAATGAATTTCTATATCTTAAATGTCATACTAGTTCTAGGTTAAGTTTCATGCTTGTTTTTTCTCTTTTTTTTTTTTTTTTTTTTTTTTTTGTCTTAATAGTGGTTGCTATTAAATGTTCAAAACTTTAAAAGAGTATAAAAGTTTGAACATAAAAATTAGACAAGTCAAATTCTTTAATTGCTTGTAATTCTTTACTGTAACTGTTTTCTGGAAATTTTCTGTATAGTATTATTATAAACAAAAGTAATGCAGTTTTACAAGGAGGTGCTGAAAAGTTCTCAATCTGACCCACTTCCCCCAAATAAATATACTGATATTTGATCATTAAAATACCAGTTTTGGAGAATTGTACTGTGCTGGAAACTTTTCAGCACCCCTCGTACATTAAGAATTAAGATTACCAGTAGCAAAGTATTCACTTCTTTTAATTCAGATTCATTTGCTATAATAAATCATAGAAAAAAACTAGCATTATTTTTTCTGCATTATTTTCTATCTTGCAGTAATTAATATTCTAGTATTTCTAAAATCTGTGGTCCCTATAATATTTTTACTAAGACTTGCACTTTGGTTATATAAATCCTGATATTTTATGAAATCTGGAGCATTTAATTGCCATCTTTGTATCATCTTTTCTCTTTAAATATGATTTTTGTACTTTATAAAAGGGGTTTTAAAAGTTTGATTAACAAATGACTCAGTTGAAATAACTTTTTATTAACATCATCATTACTACAAATGACTGACACACTATTTAATTTGTACATATTAGATAAAATGTTGGGACAAGGATCACTGGTAATTAATATATATATATATATATATATATATATATATATATATATATATATATGCTCACACACACTTGCCACTAATAGTCATGACAATGAATTTATATGATTGTGAACTCCTTTTGAGAACATTCAAGTGTCTCTTAATCTTATCACTTGAAAAAGACAGTTAAGTCATGGAAGCTGACATTTTCCAGTTAAAATTTAACTGTTGTCCTGTTTTTTTTTTTTTTGTTTTTTTTTTTTATTATTGATGATGCAAACAAGTATGTAATATTATCATACTTCATGGTATTTAATTTACTTTTTTAAAATTAACTATTGTGTTTCTTATATATTTGAGTTTCTTAAATTCAGCTATCAACACTTTTTTTTAACTAAATCTTAAAAGGATTTATTTTAGGAATAACATTTGTGTAATTCATATTGGTTTAATTTTTTATTGAAACAAGTTGGTTACTGTTAATTAGTCTGACATTAAATTTTTTTTTTCTGTCTTTTTTTTAAAACTAACTGGAAATCTATCTCCTCTGGGATTTTATGCTAGGTTCTATCAAAGGTATAAATTGAGTTTTTTGTCTATAACAGATCATATGTCCAAACTATACATTCATTGAATCATACTTTATTTGAAAATCACCGTCATTAAATGCTAGATTATGCTTCATATACATATCTTCACAAAAGATTTCAAATTCCCATCTTTTTTTCTTTTTTTTTTTTTTTTGAAATATACATTCTTTACTGGATTTTTTTTTTTTTTTTTTTTTTTGCAAAAGTAAACAAAGGTATTAAAAGGAAGTATATTTTTATAAAGATTTATAAATTTAAAGTCATAAAAATGGTAACTTTTTCCTAGCTAGATACTTAATTATATATGATTAAACAGTTTTGGACTAGCTAACATGATGGACACATGATGGAATTTTAAAAAGAAAATTATACACTATGAAAAACTATGCACTATGGTTTTGTTTGTAACTAGAAAATTTGATGGCTATATCTCTTGCTGTCTTTGAGCTATGTGGTATCAGATATACCAAAAAATACATTTTGTAAGATTATAAAATTATCTGAAAAAATTTTGATATAATGTATTGAGAAAATAATTTGTTCTACATAGTTTTTAGATGTGTACAGTGTACTGAAATTGTTCCTGCTATAAAATCAGTTAATAATCCTTTCTAGCTAAAAAAAAAAAACATAGCTCAAGTCTTTGAGGTTGCATAAAACTTATTTTTTAAAAGTTAAACAAAATAAGATACTTCATGTAATTTTTGACTGTTATGTTTTTCATTATGATTTGCATGTCTTGTTTAAAAGCACTGATATAATTTTAATAGTTTTCACCTGTGTAGGTTCAGTTGTCTCTAATCCGAATGGCAGCAATATTCCTTCTGCTGGCTGTGGTCCTGTAAATATGAAGAGAGCTGATGCCAGTCCAAGCCAAGTGTCTGTTGCACAAGTGCCTGACATCTCCTATTCTAGTAGTGAAGATGAAGATTTTTATGATGCTGAAGAATATCGATTTGGATCTCCCAAGACCACCTCAGAGTAAGTATTGTTGCTTCATATATCTCTAAATTTAACACATTCACACCTCTGTTGCCAACATTTTTTTTCTTAACACTTTATATGACTTTTATTTTATCTGTAAACTTAAGCAGTTGACTGCATCATGAAACACCTGAATTTCTGTTATTTAAAATAAATCTTTTGGTCAAAAAAAACTCATTAGATTGACTGATCTCTTGAATAAATTTGTAAAGAGTTACTTCTCAAAGGTTTAAATAAGAAAATTTTAATCTTATGATCTCTAAATACTAGAACATTACCACTAGTGTAAAAATACATTTTATAAACTATTCATTTATTTTACTTGTTAAACTCAAACATTTCGGTGATTATTATTCTCAACAATTTTACTTTATTTGAAAGCATTATACTTATTTGTTGATGTGTAATGATTCTATGTAAGTTGAGTAATCATGTAAACACTTTTTTAAAAGTTTAATGTATGTTAATCATTATTAAGCTTTCTGAAACCTTTTACTATTTCATTTTGATTTTAAAAAAAAGAAAAAGTTCAATGCCTGATAAATTCTTCAAAGCTATATTAAGGGTTAAAATCTGCTAATGGCCACTGTCATAAATATTTGTTATGGTGTGGAACCATTAGAAAGATAACACAGACTCGGATATAAGGTTAAATAGTATATTCTCAGAAACATAGTACAAAGGTAAATGTGGACTGGAGAGTACTTTCTCACTGGTGTCCTGACTCACTCATTCACTCACTCTATGGCTACTACTCGGTGACCCTCACTTGGTGACTCCCTTTACTCAGAGTTGGTAGCCATATTATATAGGTGTGGAAGAGTCCATTTGTAGCTAGGTCCCCACAATAATATTTTTACTACATTCTGGATCATTTAAATTTTTCTTTCATTATATAGCATTATATAGATTATTTTGTTTATGGAAATCAAATTTACATTTCCTATAATGTTGAATTGCCTCTGATTATCCTGTAATCTTATCTGCAATATTTTTCTTTTTTTTTTTTTTTTTCTTTTTCTTAGATGTTTGGAAAATCTTTTCAAGATTTGTTTGCAGCATTGTAGATGAACAAAAGTTTTCAATATTAGATTTTATTATAAATTAACATCAAACAAATTATTCTTTCTATTCTTTTTATGTGTAAAATTAAGATAATCAGAAAAAAAAACCTGTTGGAAGTATGTAAAAATTGAAATAGGACAAACTTAAAACTCTCCAATATAAATACAAGATTGATTAAAAGTTCAACATTCCCAAAGTCCTTGTAATAAGGCATTTTATTAAATGAATTCTTTTATACATATAAATACTGTTTAATGCAAATTATTGAAAGAATTGAGCTGTTTAATCAATTTTAAATGACAGCCTTTCAGAGAAAAGGTGTAATCATTTCATCTGAAATTGTAAATGTTTCATTTTTTGAATGTATTCTACTCCATTTAATTTTATAAAATTTAACTTTTTCTACAGGAAATCTGCTACATCTGGTGAGACAAGTCCAATGCAAACCCCAGCAGAAGAAGGTCCTGGAGATCAACCACAACCCCCAGTCATTGCATCTGAAGATGACATATTTGATGGTAAGTTAGCACATACCTATTTGATTCCCAACTTGAGGGAGATTTATTTGTAGTTTTCTATCAATTCTGCTTGAAAGGTCAGGGTTAGCACTGAAGAAACTGTCATCCGGTTACACTTAACAAAATTAGGACACTGATCTTGTTCTCATGTGTATGAATGTTAATGTTTTGTCTATCAATTTAGTTACTGATGTAACTCCTTTGGCTGTCACGACTGATTACCTTTTTACCCTGGGGAAGTAGAACAGACCTGACTCAACTTCCTGACCCACTCACTAAAATTTCATCTGATAAATGCAAGTACATGCTAGCATAATTCTTTTAGCTGACTTTTTTCTTTTTTCAATCAGAATCACCCCAAGCAAGGCAGTAATGCCACTAAAACACAAAGGGTTACAAGATCTGGAAGAATTAGGAACAGAAACATTAATGATGAGCAGTAAAAAGAGAGTAACCAGGTGGACATTAGATAGCGATTGACATTGCATTTAAACTTTTGCAGATTAAAGTTGGTTTGAAAGCATGGAGCCAGAAGGGAACTTTCATAAGAGAGTAGTGTGAGAGAAGTAACTGTTAGCATAGAATTTATGGCTACATCTAGTCAGCTCAATTGTAAATTGATGAGATCTTGATGCCAGTCTCGTGCTGCACTTAAATTCCAAAACTCTAGGTACCATAGAGAAGATCACATTCAAACAATTACCATGAAAGTATTTATAGAAAAGATAAAGAGAAGTAACATTATGGTGCTGGGAAAGTGACTGGAGCTGAGCTGCTAGATCAAGACCAATAATATTGCAGATTCTTCTTTGGATCTTATCAAGGAGCTCAAGATAAATAGCAGGGGCACCAGACCATATGTGGCAGCAATATTCTAAGGATGGATGAATAGTAGACTTACAGATATGTAAAATAGATTCTTACAAACATTTTAAAAATCTAATGTTTTAATAAAATTTCTTATTTTTCTTTTCACTTTGTATATTCAGTCTGCTTCACAGCAATTTGAATGATTCAAAATGTTAGTCCCTGTATAGAATTATACTTAGTTGTTACTTTCTTATAAAATTCTGTTATTAAGTTAAATATAGCAGATAGCTCATGCAAAGCATATCTTACAAAAAAACATAACAGTGAACATGTTGCATTAATTATATTATTTAATATAAGTACTATAATAGGATTCATAATAACATAAAGGAATAATAAAATTAGTAGTAAAATATAGACAATTCAAATACATAAATGCACCATTCAAGTACTTATTTCTTTTAATAATTTTTAAAGTTTACATGTATGTTTTTATATATATATATATATATATATATATAAAAAAATATATATATATGTATGTGTGTGTGTGATTTAAACATCAAATATGGATCAGAATTCAACAGGATAAGATAAAGGACAAATACGAAATGTATATCAACATGTTTCAGTTTTATTAAAGCTTTGTCAACCATTGTTCTTGTACTACTTTGATTTATGTACAAATGTTCTGTGATTTCAATTTCTTCACTTAATATTTCTTGGCTATTGTCAAGCTTTCAAACAGTTTCTATAAATGATGAATTTTTTTTTTTTTTTTTTTTTTTTTTTTTTTAATTTAAAGAAAGAAAATTATCTTCCTCTGGTAAGCACAAAAATACTTCCTAACTAAACCTGAGTTTTGGTGTTCTGTTCAAGTACTTTCTATGGGGATAACTGGAGAATAAAATTTTATAAAGCTAGAACAAATACACTCAATTCTCTTTTTAAATAGGGGATAAATTCCAGAGACTACTGTACAAAATAAAACCATGTAAAAAAAAAATATATATATATATACAGTGTACATATGAAAATTAGAGTTAGGTTTCATCTAAATATATTTAATAAAAAAATTTTAATTTTCATATACAAATAAACAAATTTTATATATATATATATATATATATATATATATATATATATTATTCAGTCAATCACTACTAGACTGTAAATATGCCCGCTTTCCATTGTTTTTCAATGGTGCAAAATCGCTCTCATCGCTGGAAATATTTAATAGCAATATATCTTCATGTGTATCTTGAATAAAATTAACAGCTTGTGTTTCTTTTGTTTCACTGATTTTGAATACAAATTCAGTTATCAGGCACTGAGATTTCGTTTTTGTTAGTTCTTTATATGATTCTTCATAACATGCCATAATCATTTTCAAATCACATTGGAATTTCACTGCTCATTCAACATTGTTATCATTTGTAAGAAAATGATTTCCAAGTTTATTGGCTATTTTGTGGCCTTCTAGTTGCTAATGACTGCCACTACACACTGTCTGATAGAGCGGTTACACACAGCCAGAGGTATGTACAGTGCATAGGTCCTGCCCACACCGTAGAGTGGGGATCACTATATTGAAAAAAATAGATTGGATTCTATTTTAATTCGCTAAATTGTTACTTCATCATGTAACGTAAAGTTTCAGTATTTTGTAAATTATAATTGATTGATGTTACTTAATCGTTTACTTGCCACTTGCAATAAATTTGATAGTCACACAAGGAAAGATGTTTAAACCATGTTAAAGTAAAAAAAATGGAGCAAAAAAAATAATCGTGTTATTTCAAAACCGTGCAAAACAAAATACACACAAAAAGAGAATTGAGTGTACTTCATTCCTTAATGTTAGTTCAGTAGTAGGCTTTTGCATGTCAATTCTTATATTAGTACTATATATTTGAAAAGTGATATCCTCACTCATAATCTCTTTATTTTTTGGTCATTACCAATATTTTGTTGAGTAAGTGTTTGGCATTAAAGAGTATATAAGAGAGAAAGGATTTTAAACTTTATTTCACATCTTACCCAGTTGACATATAAGAATTGATGTGTATGTGTGCAATTCTCTAACATGCTTGGACTAATTCCAACCAGACTTTGTAATTAGATATCTTAGTTTGATTATTTTTAAGAAATAAAAAGGGGAAAAAAACATAAAAAATCACTGTTTAAACAATGGAGAACTGATAACTAAAATACAGGATTTGGTAAAGATTTAGATAGAGCAGGCCTGACAAAATATGAGTGTACCAAGTGTAGCCCACAAATGATTTTCAAAAATAGTCAATTTCTTTTTTTTTTAGTTCATCAGAAATAATTCAGCAAGAAAAATTCAGTTTTGTGGCGGGAGCATGACTTTTTTTTTTTTTTTTTTTGTTAAACCAATTTTTGTATCCAATTAATTCTTTTAACTTTTTGTATCCTCTCTCTATATATCTCTATCTCACTCAATAATTTACTATGCAAATGTACACTTACAGTTCATGGTTAATTTTCTGCAATCAATATAGCCTTTTACATTTTTAATTGTACAGGCCTGAGCTCGAAGCATTATAGTATCACCCATAAATAAACAAACTTCTGCTAATTTCTTTTATAAAAAGCATACCAAGATTGTATTATTTTTTATTGGATATTATTAAGTATTATCTATTACCAACCATTGTGGCTTGTAAGAGTGTTTGGTCACTTTCACTCTTCACTCTTTTGCATCTCCAGCTGATGTAACATCATGGTACTGAACTCAAATCTAATGCTCACTTACTCTGACAATGTTTTTATTAAGTAAAACAATTTACACACACATTCGTAGGCTAATGCATGCAAATCAGCCATGCCATGTTTGCTGATGTTTTCATTTCTTCCAATATGTGCCTACTTGCTTTTTTGGTAATAAGGTCAATCACTACTCGATTCTTTGCTACAAACTGTACAGCATTGAAATCTCTAACTAAAAACATCAATATGTAGCAGTTCAAAAATAAGTAGATAACTTCCTAAATCCATCTTTCCAGAAATTTTTATCATTCTCAGCAAAGAACAATTCTAGTTGCCTTTTGAAGTCTTCTATGGAACTGAATTATTTTTTTATTAGATTTTTGTAAAGACTGTAAGCAAGGCATAACAATTTTTGCCTGGTCACATCACTCTAGCCAGATGGAATATTATACCCTTTCTATCAACTAATTCCAGATGCTTTTCATTGATTACTGCTGCCTTTAGTTGGTCAAATTGAGAGCAGCAGTGGTTGGAATCAATTGGTTACTTTTCCAGAAAGAACTAATACTGGAGGACTCCCTTCAAGTCCCAGCATATATATATATATATTTATATATATATATATATATATATATATATATATATATATATATATATCATGTTTTTTGTGTGAATAATTCATGAATTTGTAAATTGATTGCACGTTTATTGAAATTAAAATAACTGATCCAAGTGTGACTTTTGGATAATAAGTGCGACATTACTGTAATTATTGAACAATATAGTTCATGCCACTTTGACAGAAAATTTACCAGTAAAAAATTCGTTTATTACCATATTTGTACATGAACGCACAACTGTAAAAAAAATTAAAATCAAACTCAGCGTTGTTATTGCACGCTCCAAAAACAATAACTCATTTCCAATAGCATTTTCGGATACAACAATACATATATTTTCGTTGTCCTCTTATTACTAAGAGAAAAAAAAGAACAACATCTATTCCATACCTGAAGATGTCTGTAGGAACAGACGAAAGCTTGTAGTAAAAATAAGAACTAATACGGCAGAAATTTATAGAAACAAGGATCTTTTCATTCATAACGGATTTGGAGGTTTTTGTATATTATTTGAATTGTTTTGCGATGATGGATTTCTACAATTAAATCATTAACCTTTGCATTTGTTTTTGTGTGAATAATTCATGAATATATATATATATATATATATATATATATATATATATATATATATATATATAATATGAAGAAAAGAAAGGGTAAATTTTTTATTTATTAATCCAACATATTTTTATTACTTAAATGTTATTTTTGGTGGATACTTATATTTGAGTAGATGATCCATTTATTTATTAAGAGGTATATTTATTGATTTTTGCCTACTGGCCTGAATACACATGTACACACACACACACACACATACATATATATATATATATATATATATATATATATATATATATATAGCATCACCTTCTTTGGTTGAAGACCAGACTTTGCTATGGCGTGTGGTAGTGCATTTCACTTATAACAGGATCTCGTGTGTTTCACATTGTTGTCGCGTATCCACTTTTTTATCACCTATTGCAATTTTGAAAATGGAACACTTTTATTATATTTAAGTAGTAAATATGATATACAATGGAGTATTTATTTTTATTTTAATTATGTGGAAGCCACTAACATAACTCAAATGATAGAAAAGATTTTCAACACTTGATTTGGATATTTTAAGTATGTTGACTATCTCTCACGTTGTATAATGTTGATCATTCGCAAGTAATATCTTATTTGCCTGACCATGAAGCTTTCTTTAGTCAGAAATTTCCAGCATAAAACTTTGCAAAAAATCTTTTGATACATTCATTCATTCACAATAGCTTCTCCATAAATTGTACAAATATTTTTTTTTTAAATTGAGTTGTATATTTACCTTTCTTAAAACAAAAAACATAACATTCTGAAAATGCAAATACACCAGTTTTAACAATATTTTTAAATGCACATATAGCTGTTGTCACAATACAAACAAAAGTGATTATTTTGAATGAAGTTTTGTAAAACTTATCTAATAACAAAAAGAATTAACTTAGAGCAACCCAATAAATATCATTGCAATCCTTGCTTTAAAAAATTATTAATTTACTTAGTAATGGCATCTTATTATTGCTAGTTAGTGTGTGCTTAAAGGATTGAGTAATGATTAAAACACTTTACATCAATAAGATTAAAAATAAAATTGTTGAGCTAATTTGAAAAAACACCTAGTATCATGCCAAATATATTTGATAAATTGTGCCAAACAGTTTATGCATCTCTTAAATGTACACCTAGTTAACAATAGGAATTTATTCAGTATCTGTCTATATTTCTGAGATGACGTATTATGTACATTATTCGGACTATTGTCCTCATATTTGTTGCCATATTTATTACAACGTTTTGGCTTTCAGATGGTTGGAATGTCGAACTTAATTCTTCACTCACTGGGGTAGACTGTTCTGGTTCCACATGCCATGTTTAATGGATGTCAGTTATCTCCTGTTAATTTCCCTCTGAAAGTTCTCCATTGCCTTAGCCAGGTATTGAACTCACACTCTTTGGGTCCTGGATCTAACTAATGCCTTTATCCACTGTGCCATCTGACCTTGATAACATCTGTGTATGAACTTCTGGGTATTATAAACCTAATGTCTTCAGCAACCATTTTTACCAGTACTTATAGGCAATTTTTGATGTTACCAGAGCTCCTATTGCAATTTTTGTTATTATCACTTTTCTCTGGCACTCCTTATTACTGGTTACCATATTGTATTCATTTCTATGCTTGGTTGGCTCAGGAGATTTTTGTGGCCTATCATATGGGCTGATTCCTTAAGTTTACAAATTTTCCAATGGTGTTCCTTGTCTATGATCTCAACCTGATCCCACAGAGGGCGGTGATCTCCCTTCTCTCTCCATATGTGGTCAGCCATGCCTGATTTTTTCATTTCCCCTCATGTTACAGCTTTCTGGTTTTCTTGAAGTCTTACCTTAAGGGCGCGGCCCGTCTCTCCTTTGTATTTCTTTCCGCAGCTGCACGGGATAGTGTTTAGTCATGTTCTCCTCTATGGAGGGGGTCTTACTCGGGAGAGATATCTGCAAAGTGTCGTCAAGTTTTTGAAGGTTGTCCTGATGTTATATGGACTGCAGATCCTTTATATTTTCTCTGATAACCCCTTCACATAAGGCAGGCAGACTGTTTTCCGAGTGTTGTTGTCTTCCTCTTGTACCGGTCTATCCCAGTTTTCTGCTGCCATGTACCCAGGGTAGTTGTTACGTTGTAGGGTACTACTTATACTGACCAATTCTTTATCTAATGTCTCTGGGTCACCACTTATGACTTTTGCTCAGTGTTGTAAGCAGCGGATGATCCTTTTCTTTGCGCTGTATGGATGGTGGGAGTTGAAATTGAGGTACTGTCTGGTGAATGTTGGTTTACAGTATACAGATGTCTTGAACCCATGCTCTGTTCGAGATATTAGAACATCCAGGAATGGGAGTGTGCTTCATACACAGATATCCTCAAGGACACATGGCACAGTGGATAAAGGCGTTAGATAGATCCAGTGACAGGACCCAAAGAGTGTGAGTTCAATAACCGGCTAAGGCAGTGGAGAACTTTCAGAAGGAAATTAACAGGAGATAACTGATAACTGATATCCATTTAACATGGCACATGCAATCAGAACAGTCTACCCCAGTGAGCGAAATAAAGGGTTCAGTTTGACATTCCAACTACCTGAAGAAGGCCGGAGCGTACAACAGCCGAAATGTAATAAATAAGGAATTTATTCATTGCAACTTTTTGATTATGTAAAATGATCCATATATTGAAAAAATTTTTTAAAACACCTTTCTCATCAGTCTTAATGTATACGACTTAGACATTTTTGATTTGATAAATGTACTTGCTTCACATTTTGAGAAATTGAATTGTAAATCTAAAATTCCTTGAAAGTGTATATCACATATAGAGTTTTTTTTTCCTGCTTTCAATTGACACTTTTGTCAAATATCTATCAAATAAAATTTCTAAACCTTTGCAGTCAAACTCCTTTATTGATTGTATCTGTGAGGTCATTGGTCACATTTTATGATTCTCTAAATGGAGTTTGTTTACTCATCTAAATTACTGCAAATTGAATATTTTTCCTAAATGATAATATATAAAAGAAAATAACTCTTGCATTCATTTAATAAGTTTTTAGTTTTACAGTTGGTTAATTATTATGATAAAGTTAAAATCTAAACTATTCTGTCTGAATTTTTAATATGAAGATACTTATTTAAACAAATATTGATTAAAGGCATGTTTCTTTTATATTATCTCTTTCTGTTTTTTTTCAAAGATCGTACACATTTTTAGTTAATGAGTCACATTTTTATACAGGTGTATTAAACATAAGATACTAGATATCATTTGTAACATGATCTCAGAGCATTTTCAAGCTTCATACAAAGAGTTGTTTGAACTGCTGCAGTCATTCTTTTTTTACTTTTGTTGTAACCACTATGTTTTTCCTGACTTATTCTACACTCTTCTTCAGATATACAATCTATAAGGAAAGTCTCTTTTCATTTTCTTTCTTTCTTTCTTGTGAGTTGGTGAACAGCTACTGTAATGATAATGGCTCTTCTCTTTATACTCTAAACAGAAATGTTCTGTTTTTAATTTTGTAAATAAGCAATAGTAGTCTTTTTATTTTATCATATCTCTACATTCATCTCAATACCAGTGACATAAGAATAATGTTTTGTTATCTTAATTCTTTTTTTAAAAATTAAGTATTGTCACCTATTATTATTATTAATTTTAACTAGTGTTAATGAGCAAATAAAAATTAAGATAAAAGAAAATACAAGTTAAAATTAATAATGGTTACTGGATTTTTTATTTTTCATCATTAATTTTTTACTGTTGTTTTTTTTTTTTTTTTCATCTTATTGTTGCTTTTAATCAACTTGAAATCTAAGACTGCTAAAGAAAGAAAGTTAAATTATAAATGAACATAAAAACAATAAGATTAAAGAAATATTAATCAAAAATGAAGATTTAATCTATAAAGTCAACTCATATGAGATTGTTATTACTAGATATTAAAGAAAGTGGGAATTAATAATATAGTGGCAATAATTAAATGCATATTATATTGATCTTGAGCAGTCTTTTCAGTGTTCAACTTCAGATAAAATCCAGCCATTCAATAACTGATTTTGCAAGATAGATAAGCTTCACTTGCTTAAGATACCTTGATCTTCCACCATTTCAAGTAGTTCTGTGCCACTCTAATTTTTGTAAACCATTTTACATGTATTTAGCATCAACTGCTTTAATCCAGCACTTTTTACAAGGTTTCTCAATGTTTAATTTTGCATGTTTCAATGTTATTGCATCATTAAGTAAATCACTTTTAATTGATACATTTCTCTCTCTCTCTCTCTCACATTTTTTTCTTTTTCTCTAGAGCTCTATGATGTTCAAGACAGTGAAGAACGTGAGTTTACACTCTTTTCTTTCTATTGTTGTATATTAAATTCCCTTTGTTATGGTTCTTTGTTGATTTATTTACACCAAGATTTCACTCTTCACTCCTTAATCTGGATATTTCAATACAATAATAAATCTCAAATATATTACCTCAATGTTATTCTTTTTATTGTTAAATTTATTTTTGCTGGACAATTCAGTTTGTACTTCTATATCTACTAAACCCTTTTTTCCTCAAGGGGCTACTTTGTTACACATTTTGTTTAATGAGACCTTATACAAGTTTATACTTATTCCTGTCTTTATATTCAAGAATACTGTCATGGTATATTTATATCTATTTTCCTAATTAATGGTAATTTCATAATAAATTAGGGGATGAGGTACCTCCTAGAGTAGCTTCATGGTGAGAAACTAAGTTTACAAACCTACTTTGAGATTGCTCTCTATCCTCCCTATAACATTCCACTAAACAACAAGCAGCACCCAATACTGTTACATGCTGGAAGTTTTCAGTTGTCCAAAATGCCTTCTAGGAACATATTAAATCCATCAATCTGGATACAATTGAAACCTCATATGAAAAACACATACCTATGAAGAAAAAAGTCTCTTCTTCATGTGTCATGTCCCTTCAGGACATTAGTGATCATGACTCTCCATAATTTCCTTAACAACTTTTGTATTTTTACTATTTCTTCTATACCCTGATTTACCAGCCATTCATTCAAGATCGCCATGTAGGCTGTACATTACTTTCCTCTGTGTCTCTTACCTTAACTCTGTCCTGTGAGTATCAAATTTTCAAAGCCCTCCTTCCTCATTATGTGTACCAGAAACCTCAATTCTCTCTCTGATATTAAGTATAAGTGTCTTTTTTGTTACTATTGTCTCCCAAACTTTGTCATTGGTCACATGTTTAGTCCATAGTATTCTCAGCATCCTTCTGTAGAACCATATTTCTGTTGTTTCAAGTCTCTTCTTTATCTGTGAGGAGATTGTCTAGCATTTAGTCTCTACTGAAAAAAATTATGATAAAAAAGGGAGAGTATAAAAATGTAGGAAGCCTTACAAAAGTCATATAAAATGGTTTTTGAAAAAACAAAACAAAAACTGCTTGAATCGCTAAACTATATAGGCTATATAATTGCGTCCTGGATAAAGATTACAGATAAACCTGTGAAAGTTAGGGTCAATTGTAAGTAATTGTCACCTTAATGACTCTGAAGACGCAATATTGGATAATGGTTTAGGGTTCATAATTAACAAACATCATGTGCCCTTTTTGGATAAGGTAATGTATCCATGGTAATGAATAAAAATATATGTGGAGTTTGGTGGTTACAAGAAAGCTAAAAAGAACTTCATTTTACTATCACCATGGTCAATTTGTTGGGAAGCCAACTTCCTGATGTTATAGGACTGGATCAAGGTTGATCTCAGTGTTCAGCACCTTTGGAAGTGCCTGAAAACCATACCACAGGTTGACCGAAGCCTTGTGAGTGAAATTGGGTAGATAGAACTCTTGTGGGTTGTTGATAGCTGTGCCAGCAGGAAGCCACAAGTCATTGAGCATGCTGGCCTTGTTCAAATTCTTGCTCACGCTGGATAACATGTTCTCTCTCAGAAACTGTAACTAAGGTCTGCTCAGCATGGTTACAGTATAAACCACAGTGGGTGTCGAGCAAACACAAATGTGCCTGAGTGAGCATCTGCAATATAGATTGGCTAGCTGCCCTAGTAGACAGGTAACCTCAAATGCAAGTGGACAGCTATTATATATATATATATATATATATACACACACACACACATACATATATCTTTCTAAAAAGGTGGAAATACCTCCATAGGCCTATTGTAAATTGTTTTATGCATATCATCCACTAAGTCATTTCTTAGTAAGAATTTTACAATTTGACTGAAATTCAGCTCATTTAATGGAACCTATTGGAAATGTATTTGTCTGTTCATTATTAATGTTATATTAATGACATATAATTCCAATATAACAAATACCTGAGTGGGATTGTTTCTAGCTTTGAAAATAGGAGATCGCATATCATTACTAATGATATTACTACTTGTAATATCCCCTTTTGAAGGAGGATGAAAAAACATATAAAAAGGGTTTCACAACATTATAACAGTATTTAATAACAAAACTACCATTTATACCCTTGAGTTGTTTTCATTAGAGAGAAGAATCTGATAAAAAAAAAATAACAATATATATTGAAAATTCACATATGGGTGAATATCTGTTCCTTTTAAAGTCAGACTTAAAAAATATAAGAAAACTATAACCCGAGGTAAGGTTTAGCATTGTGCCCACTATCCCTTCCGAGATAGTCTAGATAGTTGACAGGAAGAATCATTTGGGTGTGAAGAAGTTGAAGAAAGTGACAGATATTGGCTTATTTACTGCGTGTTTAAGTTGGTCATCTGAAGATTTTAATTCCACTTGGTAGTTCTCTTTGATTAAATCATTCAGTCAGAGATTGAAGAACATCTCCATCTGGAAAATGGTGAGCTGTATATGTTGCTGAAAAATTTACAATATGAGTGTCGCTGCATGGATATTTTTAATATAAGAATTGTTTACTGCCAAAAATAGAAACCTTTAACTGAAAAAAAGGACCCTTTATTCGATATACTTGAAGAGGACCATAAAATGGAACAGGTGAAACATTGTCTAAGTGTGAATAATATTAATAACTCTAAGAAGAAATTTGTTTGTCCATAAAAATTATGGTATGATAATGACTTTTCTTAATAATATAACTGGAGCTACTTATATATTTATTATAGAAAATATTAGTGTATTTTCACAGCTTTCCTTGTTTCTCTTAAAAAGAAGTAAAACATTTTCCTACTTCTACTGATTATAAATATTTACCTGCAATTTTTTTCTCGGATATCTATGCATTTTGTATTAAATTGGAGACCTGTTATGACATAAAAGAAATATCATTTTATAACATTATAATGTATAATTTTTGTTATTAATGTATTTTTTATTTTATTTTCAATTAAGTTCTTTTTTACTTTTTTCATTTTTAAATTATTCAAATATATTTGTATAAAGTAAAAGGAACAGAAGGTATGTAACATTTTTCAAAAATAGGAAACATTTTTTTGATTGAGTTTTTCATTAGATTGTTGGCATTCTTTTTGTTTTCTCAAAATATTTCATCTTGCTGTTCTCTCCTTATCTTAGTGTTCTATTCTGTAGACATGAAAACAATTGTAGTACCTGTCAAACTTGTAAACCTTGTGATGCAAGAATACTTTTTTGCCAATTTGACCAATTGATATAGCTATTATATGTTGCAAAGTCTCCTCCCAAATAATCTACCTACTTGCTGAGATTAAATAAAGAAATGAGCAAAATCTTTTATAGAGTTTTATATAATTCCTAAAATTTTGAAGAATTATAATTTTTATGAACACGATTTGGGTAACTTTAAATTGCCATTGTCCTTATTTTGTGGGAAAAAAATCACATATTTTTCTATCATCAGGAAATGTTGTTTGCAAAATATAAATTGATTTTATAATTTTCAGTTACTAATGATTTTGCTGCATAAAAATTACTTTTGCTGCTTTGAGCAACTATGTCTTGTTTCTAACTTTTGATTGTTTTTATTTCTATTTATTTCTTTATATATGTTCTAGTTGAATCATTGGAAAAACATGGCAGTGTTATTACCCATTTGTTGTCCCAAGTTCGTATTGGGATGGACCTTACCAAGGTTGTGCTACCAACATTCATCCTAGAGCGACGCTCTCTCTTAGAGATGTATGCTGATTTCTTTGCACACCCTGATCTCTTTGTGAAGTGAGTAATATATAAAAACACATTTTTCAGTTTTCATATGAAATCAGTTAATGGTAGGGGCTTTTGTTTGAATCATTCACAGGCTTCTTTTTTCATGTTTTTATGAATGTAAGTGTACTATATCAATTATAAAAGTTCATGTTTTAATATCAATAAAATATTTAAGTTTAGCTTCTTCAAATAAATACACACAAAGCATGTACTTAAAAAAATCTGCAATTGCTATTAAATCATTTTAAATTTAAACTTTCCTTTTTTATTTTAAGATTTATCATTCTTTCAAACTGAGTACATTCAGATTAGAACCTTTTAATGAACTATTGACATTATTCTTATGTTTTACTTGAATGAATAGGGATGTCTTAATTTTTAAAACTTGTTAAAATTGTGTGATAGTTACACATCCTCAGTCACAAGTCGAAGGAAAACATGTTGATTAGCATAACTGTTTAGTCTAAAAACTGATTACTTTTGCATGATGTCACATGTGAATATGTGAAAATATATACTTGAAAATTGCCTTCAAATGCATAAGCTTGTCAAGCCCAGAATATTCAAATCTTGCTTCAAATATTCAACCTAATTTTTTTCATTTTCATTACTGTTTTTAGGATTGCTGATATTGAAAATCCTAAAGAGCGTATGATCCAGGTAGTTAGGTGGTATCTCTCTGCTTTTCATGCAGGGCGTAAGAGTGAAATAGCCAAAAAGCCTTATAATCCCATTCTTGGAGAAGTTTTCAGGTGTCACTGGAAAATTCCTGGTGTTTCCAGCCAGAATTCTGTAAGTAAATAAAAGCTCCCTTTTTTTTTCTTTTCTTTTTTTTTTTAACATTCAAGTGATTAGTGATTTGATTTTTTAAGAAAAAAAAAATTATTAAAAAAAAAATCTTCACTGAAAAAATGTTTTCTAGCTTTTTTCTTTTGTTAAAGTCTTCCATTTTTTGAAGGATTATATGAGGAATTCAGCTCTGAATATTTTACAGGATGAGTCAGGTAATAGAGAACAAATTATGATATAAAAGAAAATAAAGATATTCAACAGAAGAAAAAAATCAGTATATTTTTATAAAAAATGTACATGCTTAATAAAGAAAAACACCAAAAGCTTATTCAATGAAACTGCCTCAAAGACAACTTTAACATTAACTGCAGGCCTGTATCAGTTTGTTCTCATTCATGTCCACAATGGTTGTCTTCAACAAATTTTTGGCATTGAGGGGCCACTGGTCTGTTTCTCTCTTTACAATATCCCAGTCATAGTAGAGTCCATGAGATTCAAATCAAGAGAACTAGAAGGTCATTTAGTACGAGTGACATGATCATGAAAATTCTCCACCAGCCACTACTGAAAACTTTTGGCACCTCTGGGCCATCCCTTTGATTCAAGACTTGACTACCATGTCCATTACCTTGATGGAGGTGGTGTCATTAATCCCGGGGTGGCATGAGATGGCTCTTGTTGTTCACAATCCCAGGAACATCACAGATAATTTTTTTTAACTGGATGTATATATCACTATGCATACATCTATGGGATTTGCACAGAACTAGCTGTTTTTTTCCTCCTAATCATGATAGTATCATACAGTTGAAACCAAAAATCACAACATTATTATACAATCAAAACCAAAACAGAAGAAATGTTCTGCTCTGAAAAAATACTTAGTCACACTTCAATAATCACACTAAGCTGAAGATGTCTACAGAGATAGAACATACATCAGTATACATCCAAACATTATAATGTCTGTCTTTTGTTATGAACCAATTGCTGCAATACAAAATATAAAAAGAAAATGGTAAAAAAATGCCTTGTTGCCAAAGAATATCACCAAGGTTTCCACTTCGTTAGTGGTGGGTTCTCTCACAGGGTCAAATAAGGATGGGTAAGAAGAAATAACCAATTGTGACAGATGACAAATACTGGAATAAGATTTAACAAGATTTAGTTATGTATTAGAACAACATAGAAAATATGTATGCATGTAAAGATGTGTGCGGTGTATGCAATATGAAAATCAAAAGAAGCACTTAGCTTTTGTCCATTGTCTGAAATAAAACATGTTTTCTCTGTTTTCCTTTCTCTCTCTCTCTCTCCTTTTTTTTATATTTTTCTTTGTTTCTTCTTGATATCTTTTGAATTCTCTTTCTTTACTGTTGCAAGTTTTGCCCCTAAGTGATGATCATGTTTTCAGCAATATAAAATTTCTCTTTCAGTTTCGGCACCGTGTTGCTTATTGCTTTCTCCAATTTTGATAATTGGATGAATCATACATGATCTTGTCCTCAGTCATTAACACATTGAGAAATTCACCATTGCATTTTGGTCTTGGGACTATATGTCCACATGTGGTATAGTGTGTGTGAGTTAGGACTAGGCTTCAGTCTCTCCATTATGCAATCTCCTTTAGTTGATAACAAAAGAAAGGGTATTGATCCCTTGAGATCCGCATTTAACTGATTCTTCATATTATTTTTTTCCTACTCAACTTATCATATTAGATCACGTGATTCCACACAAGTGTGAGATGTTATTTTTAGATTTCACCCGGTTTTGTTTCTAAGGTCAGTCATTTGGCTACCCAACAGTTCATCTGACTACTGATTTCAACATGTTGATAGAGAGAGAGAGAGAGTAGGCGAACATCACAGAGAGAAAAGGAAAGTGAAACAAACAATAACAAAAAATAATTAAAAAAAAAAAAAAAGCTAAAGAATAATAAAACATCACTTGACATTGAAACTGAACATTTGAAAATTTTATACTCTCTCCCAGAATTTGAAAACAACTTTATACATTCTCTGAAGTAAGTCTGGAATCAGAAGCAAATCCCCATAATGTGGGGTTTATCGCATATAAAAACTTGATGAAAACAAGAGGTCAAGACCCTGTCACACACAGAAGTACTTCAGTTAGATCCATTATAGTGAAAGTATTAACAAACATTGTATTCACAAGACTCTCACTATTCTATAAAAATGAACTCCTCACAACCCAATTTAGTTTTTGTTCTGGTATGGTGTGCAATGATGGTATCAAACAATTCCAGGAAATTGTTTACCTCTCCATTAGAAAATTGTATACCTGTTAAGTCAACCTCACAGCAGCATATGATCACATCAACAGAGTCTTCTTTTTCTAATCCATTAGAAACTGCCTTCCAAGCTCCAAATCTGCTAAATGTCTAGATCTAAGAGATGAAATATATTTGTTCACAAAGGCAAGGACCCAAATACCAAAGAATTCCAAACCTCATCTTAAGCATGACAAGGAGTAATTTCTTCCTAGACTATGTTCTGAGCATATACAAGCTGTAGTATCATATGCAAATGAGAAGGACAACATAAATAGAGAGAAGAGGGTAAAGAAAGGGCATTAGTCAGCGAACCCATTTGCGGAGACTGTGCATATGATTACTATTACCCAGAGAGAAATACACAACAATGGCGTTGCTGATAGGATCCTTGAATGCACTGGAAGATCCAGAACACACAGAGACATGGATCAGAACTTTTGCTGCATTTATAGGAGTAAAAAATTAAGACACATCAAGACCGAAGGAGGAGAAAATGAGGCAACAAATTTATTTCTTGTTACTGCTGAGTGCAAAGCGGTGAGTAAATTTTCAACAATGTGTTACCCGAGCAAATTAGAAGAAATGACATTTGAAGAAATTGTCAAAGTTATAAAAAAAGAACATAAGACCAAAAAAAAGATTGGTCATTGCTGAAAAAACCAAGTTTTTAGAGACAAGACAAGCACCAAATGAGTCCATTGTACAGTACTTACATAGATTAAAAGAATGTGCTAAGTACTGTGAGTTTGAAAAGTTGGGAACTCTGGAAATGACCATAGAAGATGAATTAATTGAAGGTTTGCAAGATCAGAACCACAAATGAAAAATACTGGAAAGTTTACAATGTCGTAACATTAGTTTGGTAGCTAGCATCAAATTATTACAACAGTTGGAGTTGATTAGAGAATTTAATCAATGAAAAGAAGAATTTAAGGCATACAGGATGAGCACAACCAAGTCTATAATTAAATGTAGTTATTGTGGAAAAAAATCATGAAAGTACAAATATCCCACGTTAGGAAAAGTATGCTCAAATGGCAAAAAAAAAGAATTCATTTTCAGAACATATGCAAATATGAAAAGAAAATAGAAAGAGTGCAAAAAGTACAAAGCCCTCTGAAGAAGAGGCTGAAATATTTATAGTGGATACGCAAAGAAGGAGAGAAAAAATAAGGATAAATGGCCAAATATTTAACATGCAAGTTGATACAGGCAGTGAAATCCTGCAGATACCAAAAAATTTCTGGGTCAAATTGAGATGGCCTAAATTAAAAAAAAAAAAAAAAAAAAAAAAAACAGCATCTAATTGAAGCAATTTGATGGAACGACTATAAAAATAATGGGCACATTTCAAGGCAATTTTGAAACAGATATGCGTTCTACCATGATAGTGGTAGAATGCGAAGATCACGGATTACTAGGAATTGATGTGTTAAAAGTGGATATGACAAGATTAATCAATTCCATGGAAGCACAAAATGAAATTAGTGTTAAAAGGCTATAAAGCAAGTATTCGACTAAAAGAGAATTATTACCCAAATATATAGTTGAGAAAAGATCCAATTCATATCCTTACCATTAGTGGTGGCCAAGTTAAACAAAATGATACAAGGCATACTAGAAAGAATGATTCAAGGTTGTGGCAATTGAGCATCACCAATAGTAGCGATAAAGAAACCTGACAGAGATTTAAAGAGTTGTGGTGATTACAAAATAGGGGTAAATCACCAGATATGTTTGGACTCTTTTCCATTGCCAAATATCGAAACTGCAAGCCACAAGTTAGCAAAAATGGAACACTTTGCGAAAACTGATCTCAAGGCAGCATACAACCAAATAGAAATTGATGGAAAATTCAAGGAAGTGACTATGATAAACACCCCGTATAGGCTTGCTAAGATGGACTCGTCTACTGTTTGGGGTAAAGACGTTGTCATATTTTTCAGAAAGTGATTAAAAGAGTCTTATTAGGAAAAATAAAAAACGTGATAATTTACCAGGACAATATATGTGAAGGGGCAAGAACCAGAGAAGAATTGAAATTTAAACAGAGCAAGTTTTAGTGAGGTTGAACAAGGCAGGCATGACTATAAACAAAGACAAATGTAGTTTTGACTGCAAGAAGATATAATATTTAGGATATCAAATATCGAAAAGAAGGCATATCACCTGACGAGAGATTAATAAAGAAAATAACAGGAATAGCTCCTCCAACAAATAAAAAGGAGTTAGAATCCTTTTTTGGGGGCTGATAATTTTTATAATAAATCCATTCCAAGATACAGTGACGTAATAGAGCCATTTGCAAAATTGCACAAGAAAAATAATGAATTTAACACAAAAGCAAACTATCAGTTTTGAAATAGTAAAGAAAATACAGAGGAGCAAATCAATGATAAATGTTTTTGATCCACAAAAATAAATAACATTAACCACAGACGCGAGTGAAAAGGCAATTGCTGCTATCGTATTGCAAGAAGAACACCCAATCATGTATATATCAAGAAGGTTAATGTCGAACAAGATTAACTACTTGAATATAGAAAAATAAGCACTATATGGAGCATAGAAAGGGCACAAAATTTTTTGATATTAAAGAAATTTTTATTAAAATTGGATCACAAACCATTGGAATTCATATTTAACCTGAGAAAAGAATTGCCAAAAGTAACATTGTCAAGGATTTTTATAGGGGCGATAAAGA